AGGCATTTCAGCCTCCCTTCCTCGCCTTAAGAAATGAGGGAGTGTTTTTTTTAAGTGCCAGTATAGCTCGACTCTGACATTTCCTAAATCCAGGCTTTTTCATGTTTGCAGGTTGTGTTGTTGGCTTGCATGTGCTTATAAAGGTACACGAGATAAGACTGGCTAATTAGCTTATAAACAAAATAGAACATTTCGCTTTGCGTCAAATGAAATCTTTTGGGTTGCTGAGTCAGACTTATGCATGTTTAAAAACATTTTGGCAAAAAAATTAAATTAGATGCAAAGGTGGTGCAGGGGAAAATACCCTGTGGGGGGATAGCCTTCCTCTCGAATGAAGGGCTGGCTCCTGAAAGCAGTGAGCAGTCCCAAGGAGTGGGAAATGCCTGAAGCACTCAAGCTGCTTTTGCAGGTTTTTCTCACAATGGGGGGAAATTGCTTCGTAGGTGAGTGATGCTAAACTCAGGTTGGTGGGTGAGCCTCCATTTACAGGTGCTCTTCATTCAGCACCATGATCCTGTGGAGGAATCAGCTGATTAATATCAAATTAGTGACAGAGACTGTGATTAGTGCTGGATGCAGCAACACCGTAGAAGGAGAAAGCCCAGGGCTTTGTCTCTGGAGGACGTTACTGCATTACCTGGAGGCCACCCCTCTTCTTGCATCCTCCTTCTGTCCCTTTGCCACAGGTCTCTTCTCCACCTCATGGCTTTCAGGCCATGGCCTGTGGCTCAGCACAGTGTGGAGGTCTCTGCCCTCGAGGGCAGCTTGATTTCCAGCACAGGGATGAGGAGGTATTTGGAGAGGGATGCACCAAACTCATGAGGAAGAGAGTGAGTGTGCAGCATTTCTGGGGCTCAGAGCTCACTGGAGCAGTGGCTGTGCAGATTTTTTCCCCTGTTTCTTCTACCTTTGCTACTTTAAGGAAATAGGATTTTGTGAGTCTTTTTTTTTTTTTTTGTAAATAAACAAGATTAGCAAAGATTTATTTTTCTCTCTTCTAACAGTAATAAGGATTAGGTACCACTGGAGCCAAAGGGACAGCAGTCATAAAGGAATCAAAAGAAAACTGTGAAATGTGGTGTGTAATGCGTGGTGGCGGAGGGCTCCATGACCAACACGGGCAGGGGTTACCCGGCTGTGCCACTCTGCTGTGGGACACGAGAGCTGTTGTGCATGTCCAGGCGTGCTCACCTGGGGTTCAGGCTACAGGGGGCTCAAGGTGTGCCAGAGGGTCCTGCAGGGATGGCTGGGTGGGATGTGGGTCAGCCCCACAGCCCTTCACCTCCGGGCACAGCTCTAAGTGCTCCAGCGCTGTGGCAGCTCAGCAGCCAGACGGCCGGGGGTGGGATGTGTCTCAGCCGCCTGACTCGCATCACTCTGGGCTCATGACTCAGTTTTCTTTTGGGTGATAATCATGCAAACATGCCAAAAGCAGCAGCAGCAGTGTTGAGATCCTTGCTGCTGAACTTCTGCCTCCTTCCAGCGCGCGGCCTGGCTGCGGGTGGAATGGCGTCTGACCTCCAGAAAGGAAAAAGATTCTTCTCCCTGGAGTTAATATTTTTAAAGCACTTAATGTTTCCTCTCTCAGTAAGTGGCTTTGTTGGAAGGGCAGATGAGCTGTCTCTGGTGGTGATGAAATGGGATCACAACTCCAGCTGACAGTAACTTGTTATGATCATACTCAGTTTCCCTCTCGTGGTTTGCAAAGGAATTAACTGGAAGGATATTTAATTACTTTCTCAGCTGAATATGGTTAAACTACGCTGGTGCACCAGGATCTTCATCCTGCAGTCCTGGTCTCTTCAGAGCTTCACTCGAGAAGATGCAGGTGGCACTGCCAGAGTTTGTTAAAACTGTAGCTCTGCCCTTTTGATCATAATTACGGATGTTCACCTCCTCTTTTCACTGCATAATGGCTGAAGCTGTTAGACAAGGTCTGAGGTGTCCTTCCATTAGGAGATATTTTCTTGCATTATCTCTCCCTCATGCTGTTTTCTGCCTGCTGTGAAGGTCAGAAGTTCTCTTGCCTAGGACCTGTCCTTATTCCTGCCTGTGAAGAGCAGGGTAAGAGGCCTCAGTTCCTCCAACACGTTTCTTCAAAGTTTTCATGGGGAACTGGAGAGGGTCTCTGCTCCACAGAAAAGGAAGGAGCCTCAAAAAAAAAAAAAAAGGAGGCAAGGAGGGTGTAAAAGAAGGGAGAACCCACAGCTCAGGGAGGTCAGTGAAGAGCTGCTGTGGTTCCACTGAGACACTGAGATGTGGTGGTGGTTGTCACCGAGGGAGTGCCATGAGCTCAGACCATGGTAGTGACTGGAAGACAGGCTCTGTTTGATAATTTTAAAATATTTTTTGACTGTTTTTATTCAGCTAATCCTATAGAGTCCCTGAGGAAGATGTTTTGCATCCTCCCCTCTCCTTCCTTGTATTGGAGGGACTCAATATCCTGCAGAGACAGCAAGGGAAATGAAAGGATTATTCCCCATAGTGATTATCCTGCGATCTCTCAGGGCTGTATAAATGGGAGCTGATTACAGTAGAAAAGGAGTAAATTGTGTAATTAGAGAGGGGGGAGAGGGAGGACTTAACCTCTGCCTGAAGGTGCTAGTTTGGAGAGAAGAGTGGAAAAGAGAACACTGAGTGGCGTCTGCTCTGGAACCCACAGCACTGTAAAGGGCTGACCTAGTCCCTGGCTGCTCCTGAAGCTTTGGGCAAGCCCTATGGTCTTCCCTTCAGGAAAAAGAAAAATGTATTTCTTTCTGCTCTAACTCTTAGCAAATTTCTTTGGGAAGAGAGGAGGTGTCTCTCATGCATGTCCACCCTGCCCCAGGCTTTTAGTGTGGTTGAGTCTTGAGCGGGCTGGCTGCACTCAGACATTGGCATCACCCCAAATTTCCCCTGGGACTTGAGAGGAAAAGCTGTGGCAGGACACAGTCCTCAGCAGTTCTGTGTTGGGTGTAAGATGACTAAGATCTTTCCTGCTGCTCTACGCAGAGCAGGAATTTTTCCTCCCCTTCCCCTCATTATTGACTCAGCCCGGCCTGGGCCAGAAAATGTGTCTGTTCCCATCGCAGGGAAAAAAAAGCACAGAGCAGAACTGCTCTCAAAGCCATGGTGAGGGAGGCTATTAATGTGAATATTATTCATGACAGGAAAAATAGCCAATTACCTTCCTATAGAACCACTCTCTGCCCAGTGAGCCAGTAATTGCAACATCTAACATTCATCATGGAGCTCTGAAAGCACTTGAGGAATAAAATGCTGGCAAATGGTTGGACTTGAAAAAGACAAGGGGGGAAAAAAAGTAAAGTTAAGGTACTAGATATTCAGGGGGTGTAAAAATGGCTGCAGGGGATCTATGCCCACTTACACCTCAAGTCCCACAAACACAAGGATTTGGCTTTGTCTTATATCCACCCTATTTTATGTTTTAAAGGTGTATAACTGTATTAATGTAGATGTTTAATAAACTGAATAGTAAAACAGGATGTTACTGAGGTGGGGATACTGCCAAAGGGGCTTTCTTGATGTTTAAGAAGGTCAGCTGTGCAACTGTGGGTGACCAAAGTAAGTTCTTGCACTTAATTTATTCCCCAGGTTTACCAGTGAAACAACCAATAAAGGGGAAATCCATCATTCCCTTTCTCCTTTGGAAAAAGGAAGGAAAAACAAAGTCCTTTCAAGAGCTGGAGGGCTTTGCATATGTTTGCTCTGCTGGACTGCACTGAAGGCTGCCTTTCACTCCCTGCCTTGTCCCCAGGTGCTCCACAGACAGTGCCTGGAGATCTGCCAGATTTCCCAGGATCTATTAACACTGTCAGCTGCTGAGGCCTCCAGCAATCCATAGGCTCCAGAGGATGTGCTCCAAGGCCTTTGAGCAGCACATCTTTGTATCACAAGGTGCGTGGGAATCTCATCTTGAGGATGCCTTCACTGTCTGACAACAGAAGGGTTAACTGCACGTGTCAGAGGACATGGCTTATTTCATGGAGTTGTTTTGGGTTTTCCCTGTGTAGCCAGAAGGGTAATTTAGCTGTGTGTCTTCGAAATGCTGTGGGTTTGCACCCTGTAAAATGTCTGTCCTTTAAATTGCTTGGTGAGTGCCAGTCCTCATTTATCATGTCAGCTGAGATCCACGGAACAGCAACAGCCTTGATCTTTCCTGAGGACTAGCCTGCCCTTCTCTTCGATGCAAAACAAATCTACGCTGAAATAGCTGCTGCTCTGAGCTTGCTTTTCACCCCAAACCCCCACAAATACCCTTTAGAGTGTACCAAAGGGATTTTCTTTTCGTTCCATGAGTGCAGAAAACGGTGCTGGCCTGTCATCAGAGATTTTGCATCAGCCATAATGTCACAGACAATATATAATGTCAAACCTGTCAGAACAGGTAAGCTTGCAAAATAACCTACGATTGTGCCAAACTGAGATACAACTTGAAGGGATGGCACCTCCCTCTCCTCTTTCCTCAGTGCCAAGGGTCACCTGCCTGTTCCTGTCACAACACCCAGTGCTGTAATTCCTGCTGCCAGGAATCACTGCAGCCATGGGGGTCTCCTGGGGGTCTGCCTTCAGATCCAGTGTCCAGCTTGCTTCATTTTGCAGCCCAAGTCCGTCTTCACACCTTTGTGTGGAGATGGTGCTGAATTCCCTGACAGCACCTGAGCCACCATGCCTTCCTCCTTCCCCCTTTTCCTTTCCCCCCTTTTCCTCCTTCCCCCTTTTCCTTTCCCCCCTTTTCCTTTCCCCCCTTTTCCTTTCCCCCCTTTTCCTTTCCCCCCTTTTCCTTTCCTTTCCCCCCTTTCCTTTCCCCTTTTCCTTTCCTTTTCCCCTTCTCTTCCTTTCCCTTTTTCCTTTCCCCCTTTTCCTTTTCCCCTTTCACTTTCCCTCTTCCCTTCCCCGTCCCCCTGCGCAGAGCGCCGAGCGGGTCGATGCGGATCGGCGCTCGCTTAGCCACGCCTGTTGCCGTGGGGCGGGGCCGGCCCACCGGCGCGGCGGCGCGCGGGCCGGGAGTGGGGCCGGGATCGGGATCCGTGAGGCGATGGTGGGCTAAAAGGGGGGTGGTGGTGGTCTGTGGGTGTGTGTGGGGGGGGCACCGGGCCGGGGGGGGCTGCGCCGGGGGTCCCTGGCCCTTCACTCTGTGAACGTGTGTGTTGTGCCTCTGTCCCAGAGGAGGAGCCTGGCCCCCAGCCAGCTGGCCAAGAGGAAGGCGGGCGATGAAGAGGAGGAAGAGGAGGAGGAGGACTGGCACCCCCCGGCGGTGAGCGAGGGGCCCCGGCGGGGTTTGGGGTGTGCAGGGGGTGTGTGTGTTTCCCCTGCCCCCGCAGCCGTGGGCAGGGGGATGCGGGGCGGTGGCGGCGCGTCCAAGTCCCGCCCCGGTGCCGGATCCTCCTTCTGGGCATCAGCCCCCGCGTTTATGCTGTTTTCGCCACCTGCGCTAAAAGTTTGTGTCTGGGCGTGCGGTTGATGGAAGAGTTTCGGTGTGTACCGATGATGCTCGTGGTTATGGAAAAACTGGTCCCCGGGAGAGCTTCCCAGTGCTTTGTGAAGGGGTGGGTGACTGGGTAACTGGGAATAGGTCAGTGTTTAAGACAAAACGGAAGGTTACGTCTTTTGTAACAGGACACAGGAGCATCAATTTCACCGATTATCTGTAAAACAAAGTTAAGACCTCGTTTAGCCATTCATAATGACACTAGTCCCAGCCCTAATCCTAATTTACAATTATGTTCTATGTCAGATGGGTCAGAGAGTCTCACCTAGTGTTTTCTGTGTCAAATCCATTTTTCTGTGCCAGCAGGTGGTTGAAACCGTGCCTCAAGGTGAAGAGGCTGAAGAAGCTGACTTAACTGTGTTAAGTTCGGAAACAGATCAATGACTTGTTTATTTTCACGCCTTTCTAAGTGTTCGAAATGTAGGTTTCAGTGTGAGGCCTTTCACCTGCACAACAACAGGTGCCGTGGGAGCCTCTGGGGACGTGCATGTAGTTTGTTTTCTGCTACTGACCCTTCCTTTTCTTAATTCTGCTTTTTTGGGGGGACGGGACAGGACTAATCTTAATGTGGACAGGCCTGCCCTTTTACAGGGTAGCAGGTGGTTCTTGTTTTCTTAGCTAGGAGAATATTTTAAGCTTCAGGTAGGTTAAACTTTAGGGCACAGTGACCTTGGTGGTGCTGCTGGCTCCGTTATTTGGTGAGTGGTGGCTGTGCCTGCTCAGAGCTGCTCAGCTGCCTGGCTGGTGGTCTGTGTGGTTTGGTGCTCACTGAGTGTGACAGCGATGCATCTCTCTGGTCTCGCCAGACGCCCCTGAGTTGTTTTGTTGCGGTTCCGTTTTCCAGGCTCGGAAGAGGCAGAGGGCCGGCGGTGAGACGGAGAGCGGGGAATGTTACAGGTCGCCTTTCCGGAAACCCTTGGCTGCTCTGACCAACAGACCCCACTGCCTGGACAGCGCTCAGCATGTGAGTGGGTGTTGCTGCTGGCACACCAGAGCATGTGCTCATCCATCGGGGAAGTCCAAGTGCTTCCGTGGCCCCATTTGATCGGAGGTATTATGGAAGCGACACACACAGAGTCTTTAGGAGAGGTCTTTTGCCAGCTCCAGCCATTTAATATTGAAGGAGGTGTGGTGGGGGAGCTTCCTGTAGTGGAAATCCTGAATGAGAGAGTTTTGTGGGGCCCAGCTGAAGGACAATGCCCAGGGACATGGGGCACTTTCCCCCCAGGTGGGTCAAGTGCTGGCTGCTTGCCTGGTTCTCTCCAAGCTTCCACTGCTGGAGACCGGATGCTGGACTGGCTGGGTGCTTGCTGATCCAGCATGGATGTTCCTGCAATGGTAACCCAGATCCTTTACAGGAAATGAGTTGCCTGACTGAATTACCAAGGCAGGGGGAAGCTATAGCTTTTAAAGAAATGAATAAAGCTGGTGGATTTAGGAAGATGGGAGTTCAATTTCATGCATTAGAAAACCCAAAGGAAAACCATTTTGAAAAGTGGAGTTGGTGGAGGGAATAGTGCTGATTTGTGACTTTCATCCTTTTGGATTTTCTTGAAAATAGTTGGAGTTGAAGCTTGAATAGATTAAATAGAGGAACTCTGAGCACTTGGCAAAATTGAGTTTTTGAAAAATGTCCTGGACTTGCCTTCTTGAGCAATCTCTGATTTCAGGCTTCTTAAATGTGTTTTCTTTCTGAATTCCTAGGAGGCTTTTATCCGCAGCATTTTGTCCAAACCCTTCAAAGTCCCCATTCCAAATTATAAAGGTAAGATGAGGAGGTTTAAGGATTGTCTGTGTTGGCTGACTCGGGTAAAACAGATGATGCTTAGGCCTGTCAAATACATCTGTGGGGATTATTATTATTTTTTGCACTGATGCATGTGTTCCAGAAATCCTGACTTAATTTTGAAAGAAAAATACTGGCATATTAGCAAAGTCTTCATATTTCTTACTAGTATTTAGTTTGGATAATCCTACATTTCAGAATTGGATTTTGTAGTCTTACTGCTATGCATTTGATGTAGTGCCAGGAGATTTTACACTGTATCACGAATACAAAAGCAAGATGAATTCCAAGCCACGAAGGTTTACCGTTTAAATAATGATACTAACAGACAGAAGGCTGAGGTGAAAGAGATCCTGTGTGCCAGTTTTATTTCTGCTTGGCTTGGTGTGTTGAGCCTCAAGGTGATCTTCAAAACAAGATAGTTTTGAAGTTCAAAGCCTCAGCTGGTTTGAATCAGTGAAACACAAGATCTCAGAAACAAACGGGCCTGTTCGTGTCCCCTGTTTCCCCTTCACCCTCCAGCTGAAAAACTCGAATGCAGATCAACCAGTTTCACTCAAACTTTAGTTATAAAAATACGCCTGTAAGCAGACACTGAATATGGAATGACAAACCCCAGAAGAGTTTGGCAGAGTTAGCTTTGTGGAAAAGCGGATTTGTCAGAAGGCAGAAACAGAGCTATAACTGAGAGCTGCTTTCTCTGGCTGTTATCTTCCTCTCTTTCTTGGGAAGTGTGGCTGTTCAGCGTGCTCTTTTCTTGGTGTGTGTGTGTGTGTGTGCTGCTGCCTCGGTTTGTGATACACTCCTGTTTTGCAAGGAACCTTAGCAAGCAGTAGACAAACAGACCCTGATTGAATCTTTTCCAAGCAAAATCAATCCTGGGAGCACAGTTGCCCGAGTTTTGGTGGGAAAGGGGATTTCTTTTTGTTCTTATGCTCTTTTTGTGTTCGTCTCCGTTCCAAAACTGTGACATCAAAATACAGTACTAGGAAAAGGGACTCGAGCTTGTTTTCTGTTATTCAAAGAAATTGGTTGCAGGGTCAAACATCTCCTGTTGGTCATCAGAGAGAAAATAATATTAGAATATTATTCTACTCTAGCAAGTAAGTAGTGGCAGTATGTATGATGCCAGCTGTGATACTGTAGAACTTCATCACTGTTAAAGATCAATTCCTGACCTTGCATCAGAGATGCATCTCTGGCTAAGTCTGGGTTAGGTGATCCCAAAAGAGGATTTGATCCAGTATACACTGTATGTGGGAGTGTATTTATTGAGCTGCTGAGGTGCACATTCTGGAGCCCTACTTGGCTTTCAAAAAGCCAGAACAACCATCTTCGGGCAGCAGTGCCACTGCTCCATCTTTCCCTCTGTTCCTTCGTTCTGTTCTTCCCTGCCGCAGAGCTTCCCGCTGTGCGCCCGCAGAGCGCTGCCAAACAGCGGCCCTGCTTAGTTTGCTGTCTGCACCAGCTGTGTGTGCACCTCCACTCCAGCACCCAATTAATTCACTGTTCCTAAACGTAATCCAACTCTCCTGCAAGGCTCAGCTCTCTTCCAGGAAGATGTTGTTCTCTGAGTTGTGCCTTTTTTCGCTTTCAGGGCCCCTGGGCTTGCGCGCGCTGGGGATCAGACGGGCGGGAGTGAGGAGCCCTCTCCATGACCCCTTTGAGGAAGGAGCTCTGGTTCTGTACGAGCCCCCGGTGCTGAGTGCCCACGACCAGCTGAAAATAGACAAGTGAGTCACCACCTGGCAGAAATGCTGCAGCTCTGACCTCCTCCTAGGTGTGGGTTTATTTGCTTTTCTCCCAAATGTGCTTGAGCTGGGGTCTGAACATCAAGGGAAGCTTGTTTCCAAGTGTTCTGCCTCTGAATTGGTTCAGGTATGGTAACAATCAAAGAAAGAATGTACCCATGCAGGATTGTTTGTGTTCTTCCATAGACCGTTTCATCTCCCACACATCAAAAATTTAAATCTGTTGCAGGGAATGAGCCTGCACGCATGGAGGAGCTGTTTAGAAAATCCTATGGCTTAGCTGTCAGTCAGGAAACATCAGCATCTAAGGGCAAGCAGAGGGAGATGACTGACAGTCAATGTTAGGCTGCCTAATGGTTTTAATTTTGAAGTAGTTTCTTTTAAGCTGCTGTTATAACTTAAAAGGGCTGTCAGCTAGATCTTCACGGGCAGAGGAGGGGGTTTCTCTCTCCGGGAATACAATTACAATATTGTTATCGAAACAGGAAAAACAATAATGACTTTTTAACTGTGTCTCTGAACAACATTCTGCCCTTGTTTTAACCACAGCCCACCTACATGGTTTCACTGATGGTTTGGATTGTGGATCAGGCCTCTGTGACTTCATTCTCAGAACTGAATTAATCCATTTTTCACTTTCTTGTTGGCGGTTACTTCCCCTGTACCAGAGGGAAGTCCTCAGGATAACAGTGAGATTTAACAAAACCTAAGCATATGCTGTGCTGGGTTCATTAATCACAGTCTTCTTCCTCGACTGCCTCCTGCAGGGACAAAGCACCTGTCCATGTTGTGGTGGATCCTGTCCTCAGCCGTGTTTTACGACCCCATCAGAGAGAAGTAAGTTTTCCATCGGGACCCGAGGGTGTGGTGGAAGGGCTTGGTGCATTTCAAAAAGCTGCAGTTCCTCTGCTGGAATTGTTACAGGTCTGCATAGACCTCACAGACTGACAGTCTGTGACAGTCTAAGGGACTCTGGTCTGTTGCAAATGTGAGGTGAACATTGGTTTTAACCATCCTCTTAGATGCCTGAATGCTGCCAATATTCTTTGTCCCTTTTTTAAGCAAAGAGTTGGGGCTGAAAGTCCTGCCTTTACTTACCTTGATGTCTGGAGATGGAGATCTGCTGACTGGATATAGTTGCAATAAACTCTGTTGCAACCCAGTCTTGAGTCAAGCAGGGCAGACTGTCCACTACTGTTTTACTGGTCAGCAGAATTGATTGGATCTGCACTTCCTGAGCCAGGAAACACTGAAGTTCCTCTTTCTGGTACCATGTTACCCGACAAAGTGTGGAGTAGGTTCCTACTTCAGTATGCTTTATTTGGAGGCTGCCCTTTACAGGTGTGAGCTGTCTCTGACCTACACATGACAGTGGACAGTGCCAAAAAATATGTTGTAAATATGTGCAACATCACAATATGGCAGCAGTGGGTACAAACCTCCAAATATCTAATGCAGGTATCTGGACAGTTAGAAGTTCATCCCAGATGCATTATATTAACATTTGAGCCTGGAGGCAGCACAGATGGAAGCTGTGATTGCTGATCTTGCAGGCTAAGCAGGTCAAGCTGGATTTGTCCCTGCCTGGCAGATCTTCACATGGCTCTGGGGGTGCTGTAGGCTGCTCATAGCTTGTACTTTTATCTCAGAGCTGGTCCTGAACCTGTGACCCGGTGTAGTGCTCGTCCCTGGCTACATGGCTGGAGGCACTCTGGTTTTGTGTGAGCTACTTCCTGCTGGTGCTTTTGTCAAGTACTCGAAGTTATGTTGGTGTCTCTGCTGGTTTTTGGCAGGTAGATATTTCTGATACAACACTTTCTGTTCTGGTCTGATGAGTAAGTCTCTTCCTGCTAAGATTCCCGTGCTGTTTTATGCAGGTGATTCTCCTAGAGAGTTGTACAGCTCTGCTCCAGCTTTGTTGTGACTTTTGCCCAGGTGCTGGATCCACAGCCAAATGCAGGCTTGTAGATAGTAATATAGGTCATAATTGTTCAACTGGCTTAAATACATTCCATTAGCCTGTTGCTAAGGGCCTAAGAAAGAAAGAAAAGGACTTTAGAATGTAAGTGAAGGTGCTCCATCTTCCAGTCCTAAATAGTGGAGTACAGAGGGGTGAATCTGTGCAGGTGTGTTTAGGTTGTATTCCTTGCTCCCTGCTCTGTTGACACAATGCAGGGAGCTTGTACTTTCCCAGCACAATGCCCTGGTTTTCTCTGACTCTCTTATCATCACATGGTAGAGGAACATTTTGCAGAGTGTTTCTTTTTTTTTTTTCCCCCCTTTTATCTGTCTCAGTGATGTGTCAGAGCCTAATGCAGGGCTGAGCTCTTCTCCCACCATGTGACGTGGGTTATAACCTCAGCCCTGTGCCTTCTCTAAAGCTAAATCTGCTTTGGACCTTGAGCCCCCAGGTGAGTCATTGTGCTTCTAGGCAGAAGTGATGAAGGCTGCTAAGAGTATTCTGGGAATTAATCGGGCAGCAGAAACAGTTCTGCTCACTCTATAATTCTGTGCTTTTAAAATTACCTAATTGGGTGTCGTTAAGATGATTAACCTCTTTGAAGTGATCAATGCATGTTAATTTATGGCCTGGGCCCGCCTAATGCAGTCAAGGGTAGAAATTTCTGGGAATTCATGCCAGGAAACTGGTTATAACTGTACAATTAAAATGTAGCATGATTTCCTGCGTGTTATGAGGTACATGTTGGCACCAGCAATGTTGTTCCAAACCAGATGTGGCTGCATTTCAGTTGTGTCTCGGGTGATTTCCCTCTGTCTCATTAGAACACTGCATGTCCCCAGGGATGTGTGTGTGCTGGTTGTTGCAGTATCACTCCTGTGCATTGTGGTAATGAAGTTGTCATCCTGCTGCTGGTGTCCCCATCCTGCTCTGAGAGAACAATTTTTTGGCAGGGAGTGAAATTCCTGTGGGACTGTGTGACGAGCCGGCGGATCCCCGGGAGCCATGGCTGTATCATGGCAGACGAAATGGGGCTGGGCAAAACTCTGCAGTGCATCACACTCATGTGGACACTCCTCCGACAGAGCCCGGACTGCAAGCCTGAAATCGAGAAAGCCGTGGTGGTGTCTCCCTCCAGCCTGGTGAGAAACTGGTACAACGAGGTGGAGAAGTGGCTGGGAGGAAGGATCCAGCCACTGGCCATTGATGGAGGCTCCAAAGAAGAGATTGACCGTAAACTAGGTACAGAAATGCTTGCAAACTGTGCAGTTGGCTGGTTTAGGTCAAAATCTTGCATTGGGAGAAGCCCACGGCAGCTGATGTGAACATCTCTGAGCTGTCACTAGAGCTTTGGAGATTGATTAAAGTCTTTCCACTAGCGTGTTTAGATCAGACCTTTGCACGTTTAGTAATAGTTGATCTTTTGGAATAATCCAGATCCAGTTGTGTAAAGTTAGGGCAGTCCCAGTGCCTCTTACTTTGCTCCAGCCACAGGGCAGGAAAGGAGGTGGGAGGGTAATGGAAATGGGGACACTGTGGGGAAAGGAGCATGGATATACATGTGTGGAAGGGATGCTGCAGAGCAGTTGAAACAGGCAGGTTTTCCAAGATTTTTAAGGCAAAAGTTTTGGCTATTTGACTCATTTTCTATTACTTTTCATCATCCTTCTTTTTTTTCCTTCCCCCCCTTTCCATCTGCAGTTGGCTTTATGAACCAGCGTGGCCTGCGAGTGCCTTCACCCATCCTGATCATCTCCTACGAAACCTTCCGGCTCCACGCCGAGGTGTTGCAGAAGGGCAGTGTTGGGCTGGTCATATGTGATGAGGTACTGGGGCATCTTTAAGGAGAATCCATTCCTGCCATTTTCTCAAGATCCGGGTGAAACCTGATCTGCTTTCTTAAAAGGGAAGTGTACAGTGGGAAGCAAGGCTTGGCTGTGGACAGCACCCATTCTGGTGTTTGAGAGGCTCTGAGTAACCAGATCAACCAGACTCTGTGAGCCTGAACAAGAGAGGGTGTCTTTGTGAGCCAAGATATGAGGAAAATCCAGTTGGTGGTAAATGTGGCTGCTTTGTAGTTCCCTGGCAGGGTGGGGGCACCTGCTAGGGCCCTCTCAGTGTGAAATGTATAGCAGAAAGGAGGTCCACTGCCTGCCTGACTGTGTTGGGATCATAGTCAGAGATCCTGGCCCTGGCTCACTGATCTGGCTTTCATTTGGTTTTGTCTGTACTCAAGTGAGAAATACTTTCTGTTTGGCCTGGCCTCATGTTCTGCCCAGTAATTTTTAACTTGGCTCTATTTGGAGCAAAGAGTTGGACTGGAGACCCCTAAGGTCTCTCCCAGCCTAAATAACTCTGGGATTTGTTTCTTGTGTGTAGTGTTGGCTGCTGTCAGCCATCTTATCTGGCCACCTTATTCTGTGCCTGTGGGGGAAGTTTGAGGAGCACCCCCATGGCAGGACCCTCTGTCCCCTCTCTGTTGTCTCATGCTTGGGGTAGAGGTACGAGAGCTAGGTAAGGAGTCACTTCATGCTGCTTGTTCAAGAGGAAACAGAGCTGGCATGACTCCCAGCTCACCAACTGCTGGATCAAGCTTTGCCAAGCCCATGTTGTCAAGCTCTGCTTTCACTTGGCTGAAATCGAGTTGTTTTTTCGTTTATAGTTCCCTATTTATAGGTAGTGAGAGCCAGAGATGCTTTGAAGGACAAAATAAAAACAAATGTCCTCTGCCTCCTTGAAATGATCCATCTGGGGCCTCGGTGGCTGTTGAGGTGTCCACAACTGCCTCATAGAGGGGATTTGTTAAATAGTGGTGCCACCCAGTGGTGTGGCTTTGTACTTGCTGGAACAGTGCTGAGAGGAGCTTATAAAGAACAAACGTCCTCATGAGTGTACTTCCCATACACCTTTTATCTACTCAGTCCGTGACTGCCTGTACTTCTCAGTGCCCCTGGGATGGGGCCAGCAGATAGGGAGGCTGGGAATGCATGTCCTTGGCCTTGTGTCTTCTGTATGCTTTCCATAAATACTCATCTCTGATGTGGTTTGGCACTTGTAAAGAGCATCTTATCACTTGTGCTTTGTCCTATGTAGCACTCAGATGCTAATAAAGTTGCTTTTTATCAGGCATGAGAAATGGGGCCTGTGTTCAGATTACCCTGTGAGAGATGCAGAACCTCTTTTTATTAGTGTGCAAAGGTCTGGCAATCCTGGACCTTTGCTTGTGGACTGAATTGCTTGTGATCTTGATTTTTGGGTGAAGCAGTTTTACTGGTCCAGAGTTCAGTGCCTGGTATAGGTAGCTGAAAACATCCCTGTCCTTGAACAGGAAACAGTCCTTATACCATGTGGTGCTTGTTCTTTTCATGGTAGGCTTCTTGCCTGCGTGTGACTCATGTTCCTGGTCTGGGAAGCTTGTAATGTCATGTTTCCTCACGTAATGGCTTCAGGTTTTCCACCAGATTCTTGCCTTTGAAAGAAGTCTGTTGCAACACTTACTCCACTACCAGGAATAGGAAAAATAATGAGATGCCTTGTGGGAGATACAGCATATCAGTGTTGACGAGGCTGTCCAAGCTGCTTCCCAACAGGGCCACTGGATTTGTCGGCTTAATTCCTTTTTTTTGTTTTTTAAAGGGCCACAGACTGAAGAACTCTGAAAACCAAACTTACCAAGCTCTCAACAGCTTAAACACACCTCGACGAGTCCTTATCTCGGGCACCCCCATCCAGAACGACCTGCTCGAGTATTTCAGCCTGGTGCACTTCGTCAATTCGGGCATCCTTGGTAAGAGGTGAATGTGGGAGAGATACGAGGGAGGGGGAGTTGCTGACCAGCAACAACTGAGACATTAGTGGGAGGAAAGACCATGGCAGAGGGCTTGGAAGTAGATGATCTCTAAGGTCCCTTCCAACCCAAACCATTCTGCGATTCAATGAGACTTATTCTCAGTTTGTATCCAGAAAGTCTAGGTCAAGGTCCTCTGTTCTAGAGGCTGTATATCATCAGAGCTCTGTTTCAAGAAGGTTGTAATTTAAAGTACACCAGTGTAACAGGTACTTTGGAAGGGAAATCAATTAAGGTGAAATGAATATATGAGTACTATGTGGCTGATCTTGAGTAGCTGTAATGGTCAGCTAAAATGTCCACATAGGCCAGGAGTTTCTCTGACAGTAAGACCTTGGAGATACCACAGGAGTTGCTGGGCAGGAAGGTCCAGCCCATAGTGGTACTTGCCACAACACTCCCAGGTTATAGCAAATTCAGAAACCTAAGCCAGGAGTGATGTCTTTGTAGGAGAGAGGCTCCACAGTGAGGAGGGTTTGATGTGACATTCTGTCTGAGTTGAGTATAGAGACAGCCTGGGAGACAGCTTTTCCCTGCTCTCATCCCCATCAGGGGGATGAAGTGATTGGTGCAAGGTGGAATAATGTATCTTGTGGAAGAGTCAGGCAACAAAGCCCAAATTTCTGGCAGTCTGCCATCCCATTTTCAGATACTCTCAGAGAAAGCTGAGGGTGATGTCTAGCAGTTGGAGTTAAGACTGCTCTTGTTTTTTAAGGCAGGGGAGGCCTATGAATATGGGGCTAACTTCATCTGAGATAGAAAAGAGTCTGGAGGAGAGATACTGATTAGTGTGAGTTTTCAGGGTCAAACACCTTCTACAACTGCTGGTAGCAGACTGAAATCTTCTGTCTCTGGCTTCTGTGCTCTGCTTATGTCTGCAAGCTCTTTGTTTCAAAAGCAAAGTAGTTTTTGCATCCTCTCCTGTATCACTGGGAGCAGGTCTACTCCTTTTCAGTGTGGAATAGCTCGTCTTTGTCAAGAGGTCATTTTCTTTCTGCCAAGGAATTAAAATAAACAAATGTGTAAATCATTTATTTGTTGCTATAACTCCTCACACATGATTGTCTCAGGTTGTTGAGCATCCAGTCCAAGAGGCTTCTCATTAATTCTAGTGCATGCACAACTTGGATTAAACACAGTTCATTGAATTATTAGCCTTACAAGCAATATTTGGGCTGTATTGTTTTCTGTTCAGCTGTTCTGTCCCCAGGAGTTCTCAAGGAAAGGATGGAATGGGGTGGTAGATGTTCTACACCTGCTTGTTCCACGTGCTTCAATTTTGGGTAGTTATTACAGGGAGCTGATGTGATTTCACCCACCTCCCCCTTGACCTGTACTCTGGGCAAGATTAGTCTCCCTGTACTTCCAGTTTGTTCTTCCTGAGATGAGGTTCATAGTGGAACTACTGCAGCAAAACTGCATGCATGCAGTAGTCATTTTTCCCACTTTCAGCCTGTGACCAGTAATAAGCAACTGATTACAGATAATTTTGGAGTAGGCACACATAATGCCTGTGCTGTTTGTTTGCAAGGACAAAATCTGGAAGTATAAGTACAGCTGGAATGTGAACAAAAACAGTATGTGCCTGATGATTTAAATGAAATTGTGTGACCTTTGGCTGTGCATTGTTGTTGGAGTACAAAATGATTTTCTGTTGTACTCATTTGCCTGCCTTGTTTGAATCTTTTTTCCTGGCTAGAGAAAAACCAAGTCATATGGATGGGATGAGGGTTCGTTTTATCTGCCGGACTCCGTGCTTGGGGTGTGATAACTGGTGCTGTGGGATACTGATCAGAGGTTATTTGGTAGTAGTTCTCACCTTCTCACTTCTGTTTTGTACAGGTACTGCACAGGAATTTAAAAGACATTTTGAAATGCCCATCTTGAAAGGCAGAGATGCGGATGCAAGTGAAGCTGAGAGACACAAGGGAGAAGAGAGGCTTAAAGAACTGATCAGTATTGTGAACAGGTGAACTTCATCCCTCTTCTCTTTGCAGAGCTTTTGCATAAGCCCTTTGCATAAGCCCTGCTATCTTTCCAAATTACAGTTGTAGCTGCAATGAATTCTCTTGCCATTTACGTCTATTCAGCAAGTGATTGTGCAAGTATTTATTGCATAAGAGATTTATATAGCATGTAGCTTTAGTCTGGAAAACAGTACTGGCATGGTACAGTCAGCTGCAGTCACCCCCAAGCAGTACCCTCAGGTACTGAATTTGACTCTTATGTTTCTGTTTTCTCCTGGGATCTGAATAATAAGCCAGCATCCTTTTATTTGTGTTAAGATAACTGCAAGTGTGGGCTGGGTCAGACTTGAGATCCATCCAGCCCAGATATTGAGTAGCAGGTGGAGTATAAGGAATGTTACTCAGTTGTGCTGTTGATTGCCCAAGACCCAAAAGAGTCCAGCTCACTCTTTCATAGTTGTGTTGGCTCTCTTGGGCTAAGAGGACAGACTACTGTTGTTAGAGATGAGACTTCTGTTCCCCAAGAAGCACCTCTGTGACGTAAAATGCTGTCTTACTTACCTTTGGTTGATTTTTTTCCTATTTGTTTAAACCTGTTTTCATGAATACAACCAGTTTATTCACATCTGCTGGCAGTTGCTTGGCTTTAAGAGCTTTTTATAGAAAAGGCTCTTGAATTCTCAGCATTGCTGGTTTCTTAATTTTTTTAAAATTTTTGTTTGTTTGTTTCTTTTGTTTTTAAACCAATCCTTTGCAACCATCACAAATACAATAGTGCATAGTCATGATAAATTGAATTTCACACTAAGTGCAGTCTCTCTCTGTAGAGACAGTCCTGACCTTGACTCAGATCAGCTGCAGAAGTGTAAGAAAAAGGAAATGTTGGGAGGAGAAGAGCTTTTATTCCTTAGGTGCATTAATTTCTCTTTATAGCTGATGGAAAAGGGGTGTAAAAGTGTGTTCAGGAATGCTTGTGACTGGCTCTGTTGGGGTCTATGTCCCTTCCTTTGTTGTGCAACAGTCATAGTACACAAATAGGGAAGATGGAGCACACAAGGAGTAACAGATGAATCTGATAGGTTTGGTAGGAATTGCAAATGGGATGGTGATGCAAAGCCATGTGGAATCACAGGTGTAAGGCTGGAAGGGCCCCAGAGAAGGCATCTAATCCGTTTTGCTGTCCTAGGGTAGATGATGTTAGGCCTAAACCATTTCTTAACCCCCACCCAGCACTGAAGACCTTGCAGTTCCCTAGGACACCTTTTCCAGGGCATCACTGTCTTTGCAGTTAGAAAATACTCTTAATGGGTAACATAAATCTCCCTTACTGCAGTTTAAGCCTATTATTTTTCATCCTACTGCTTATGGGTTTGGAGATCAGATTATTCCTTTATTTACCAGCCTTTGACAGATTTTGGGACTGTCATACATCCCTGCTTTCTTCTGTAGGTTTTGTAACATATTTTTGATGTTTCCTGGCAGAACTGGGTTTCTGCACCTCTTATTCTAGTTGCTCAGTTCAGCACTTTTTCTAATTCATCCAATCTTTTCTTAAGTGTGGTAGAACTGCTCCATGGGGCGTTTCCAGAGCCCCAAAGGATTTTGCCCTTTGCTGAAACCTTGGACCATCTTGGCTGAGGATGGCTATTAAGTGGGGAGCTACCTGCTTGTAATTTGGATTATGCCCACGGTGTGTGGTGGTTAATTCCTGTCCTCATTTGCTGTCCATCCTACTGGTCTTTGTAGCTCAAACTGTGAGTGCTGTTGGTATTTTGAGGAAGAACAGAGTTTCTCTTGTAAGTGACTGAGCTCTGTTAGGTGGAATCAAGCCTGAGCCCTCCAAATTCCATGAACCAGGTTTGGAAATCTGTCAAAGACAGTGGGTTATCCTGAGCTCTGTAACGTGGCTTCGTGTGGATGGTGTCTGGCCTTTGCCATGTGTTAGACTGTTACAGGCTTTTGGAGATAAGATGTCAAAGGGACTGACCACATGAGGAAAACTAGTGATAAAACAGGGGTTTGATGTCATCCAAGCATCTGATCTTAATTTCTCTCCCTGCAGATGTTTAATTCGAAGAACTTCAGACATCCTGTCCAAATACCTGCCAGTGAAGATTGAGCAGGTGGTCTGCTGCAGGTACCAAAAAAGCATGTACTGTGCCTGGGAAATGGGATGAGCAACAGGAAGGACTAAAATGTTGCAAAGACCCCTTCAGTTCTTGTGGCTGCTTCCCTCTAGGAATGAAGTCGTAGCCATTGGCAATATGTTGCTTTTCCTCCTGAAGCCAGGATGGGCAACCCACAACTGGTGGTTCTGGTGTTCTGGTGTTGTGCAGCAGAGCCCTGGGCTGTGCAGAGCATCTGTAGGCTTGTCTTCCAGCTCTGGGCTGGGATAGCAGTGCTCTACCAGCAGCTTTGGGGATTGTTCTAGTCTGTCCATACTGTAGCTAAAAAAAATTAAGCTGAAAGGAACACAATGTGCAGGTGGAGCAGGATGGGCTTTGGTTTGGGTGCAAGCTGAGACTGCAGAGCTCTTGTTCTCTTTCAGACTGACACCTCTGCAGGCTGAGCTGTACAAGAACTTCCTGAAGCAAGCCAAGCCAGTGGAGGAGCTGAAGGAGGGCAAAATCAGTGTGTCATCTCTCTCTTCCATCACTTCCTTGAAGAAGCTCTGTAATCGTGAGTTGTTCCAGTCATGTAGTGGCTTTGGGCTTTGCACTGTTGGTGGGGTTTTTTTGAGTCTCCCTTGTGCACTCCACAGTTTCTGAGCTCTGTTTATTCTGCAGACCCTGCTCTTATTCATGATAAGTGTGTGGAAGAGGAAGAAGGATTTATGGGAGCCCTGGACTTGTTCCCTGCTGGCTACAGCACCAAATCTGTGGAGCCCCAGCTTTCAGGTACTGTGGAACTCAACAGTAGAGATGTGCTGACTAGCACAGGCAGCCATGAGACTGTATTTAGCATCTTATCAAGTGCCCTTCCAAGGTCTGGAATTTGGGAGCTTCTGCTCTAGCTTTTTCTTTCTTTCATTTTTATCCAGGAAAGATGCTGGTTCTGGATTACATCCTTGCTGTCACCAAAAGCACCAGTAGTGACAAGGTGGTTTTAGTGTCTAACTACACTCAGACACTGGATCTATTTGAAAAGCTCTGCAGGAGCAGAAGGTTTGTCTTTGGGCTTTGCTTCTTTAATCCTGTGAGACTGTACTTGCAGCCTACACTGTAAAAGAACTGTCTATTTCTACACTTTCTATCAGCAGGAACTCATGATCTCTTTTACCTCAAGTGTTCCTGAATTGGAACTACTGTGGCTGGAGCTTTGTCTGCTGGGGTCACTCAGCAGAAAATCTCTGGCCCTCTGCAAAAGTTCCTAAAGCCCATTATGAGGCTGGTTTTGACAGATTTTTCTCTTATAAGTAGGATGCTCTAAAGATGGCAGCAGTCTGATTGTAGTAAATGCTGTTCTAGGTATTTATACGTCCGGCTGGACGGCACCATGTCCATTAAAAAGAGAGCAAAGATTGTGGAGCGATTCAACAGCCCCTCGGTGAGTGGAACCTGCCAGATGCGAGCAGGTCTCCTGCCAGTTCTGAGGGCTGCGAGTAAAAGTGTGGCTGCCTCTGTGGTCTAATCCAAGCCTGCCTTTTTCCAGAGCCCCGAGTTCATCTTCATGTTAAGCAGCAAAGCAGGTGGCTGTGGTTTGAACCTGATTGGGGCCAACAGGCTGGTAATGTTCGACCCCGACTGGAATCCGGCCAACGATGAGCAGGCCATGGCTCGCGTGTGGCGGGACGGCCAGAAGAAGATGTGCTACATCTACCGACTGCTTTCGGTGGGTCAGACTCCTCTCACCTCCCCAGTGTGGAGCTCTGGGTGCCAGCCCAGACTGGGTGCCAGCCTAGACTGCAGCTGCTGTGATCTGGGCCAGGAGGGAAAGAACTCCTTTTTGTGTTGGTGACCAGAATTGATTGGAACTTAATTGCTTCCTACCCTTAGATGTGTTGCCATGGAAAACCATGAAGGCTCTAGCTTGGAGGGTCATTACTGCAGTCCCTGGTTTCTAACAGTGTCTGGCTTCTGAGAAATAGAAACAACTGTGGCTTTGCAGATAAGAGATGCTCCTTTGAAGTCGTTTAGGCATCTGATTTCTTTAATTTCGTGGGATGTCTGATGCCAAAGTTGCTGTTTTTCAGGCTGCTGCCTGTTTTAGTTGGGTGTACGTGTGCTTAAGAAACAGCAGGTACATTCCTGCAATTACAGCAGCATTTGGGATGGGGCTGCCAGTTAGCAGGTGGGATAGCTGCTCTGTAATGAAAAACCATGAAGGAGACTAACATTTTCAGGCTACTGTAACACTTTTCAGATTGGGGTTTATTCTTTTTTATTTTTTTTAAATGTGTATTTTGAGGTTGTTTTGGGGGTTTTGGGGTTTTTCTTGAGTGTAAGCTTGGGTTCCTTGACCAATTATTATTTTTACTTTAACAAAACAAACATTCTTTGCCCATCTCTTCCTAATGGAGCTACGCTGCTTCTCTGGCCTGGCTGCACTTGGAAGCACTGCTTTTAGAATTAGGAAACCAGTCTGCAAATCATGACTAATCACCCCCCTCCTTGGTATTATGTTTGTTTGCAAGACAGACATTTTGCTCTTAGATTTTTGCCTTCAGAATGTAGCACACTGGGCTTTCTGCACATCTGTTTTACAAGCAGTCATCTCCCTCCAGACAGGGTGTGATTGATCTGTGTGTGGGTGAGCCAGCAAATATTTCTGATGCTTGTGTCACCCAGGGCTAGCCCTCGTTGCTGTGTTTTGGCAAGGTTGTGCTTGGGATTTTTTGTCAGGGAGCAGCTGTAGCTGCTCAGCTCTTTCCCCTTCTTTCCTGTCAGCACAACCTGGCGCAGTGTCTGAGCTTTACCTACAAGTGGCAGCTCCACCTCTTCCTCATCCATATGTCCACTGGATCCACTCCTGTAGCCACAGTGAAAGACAAGCAGAGTGGGGTTGGATCAGGAACCAAATAGACATGGTTGGAGTGCAGCACAGTAAAACTTGCCTGTCATCTGTACTGGCTTGGCAAGGCCCTGAGGGTTCCTGACAGCTTAGTGCTGTTTGATCTGTGACACTTCCTATAACACTGGTGTCCCAATTGTGCTTCATCTCTGACTCTCTCCCGTGTAGACAGGGACCATAGAGGAGAAGATATTCCAACGCCAGACCCACAAGAAGGCCCTCAGCAGCTGTGTGGTGGATGAAGAGCAGGATGTAGAAAGGCACTTCTCCCTTGGGGAGCTGAAGGAGCTCTTCACACTGAATGAGACCACTACCAGTGACACCCATGACAAGTGAGTAGTCTGAATGATGAGTGGCTGAGATAGCAAAAGAACCACTCCACAGTTTGGTCTTGTGATTCAGGGATTCCTCAGGCATTCCTCAGGCTGCAGGAGGAAACTCAGAGGGGGGGCCCCAAGCGTCTCTGCTTCTGAAGCTGTTAACTATCTGGGGATGAGCACTTCCTTGCTGTCCCCCCTTTTTGTTGTCTTAGAAAAGCTATGCTGGCTGGACAAGCGAGCAAACTATCTTGTTGCTGCCTGTGGTTGGAAACTGTAAAATACTGCAGTTAGTGAAAAGAGAGAAATGGATCAGAGCTGCTCAGATTGGTGGAGCCCAACCTGGTCCTTCCTTGTCGCTCTCTTCCTGTTGGTCTGTGATTTCCGAATGCTGAACTGCTTCTCACTGCTAGGGCTTCTCTATCTGCTAAGAATTCATGAAGCCAACCCAAGTGCTCTTCCAGGGACTAAAACAATCCTCCATTGTCTGCCCTTCTCCCCCACTCCTGAAACCTGTGATATTGTAGCCACCAGAAAGAGAACAGGGAGTGCAGGAAAAATGCTTCACTGTGAAGGTTAAGATTCTTAGTTCAGCCAAGAGATGAAGAGGATTAGTTTTAAGGTGACTCAAAGCTCAGCTCAGTGTAGGTATCCAGTCTGCATGGCAACAGCCCTTGCTGGCAGGGCTGCTGATGCTCTTTGTCTCCTTATGTGACAGCTCAGTAGGGCATCTCCAAAACAGCCCGAGCACAACCGGGTGGCTGTAGTGGGAGCCAGGATGGAGCATTTTGGAGTATAGGGTGCTCTTTTGAATTCAGGAATCCTGATGCAATACTAAGAAGGAGTTAGCAGCAGTCACTCCAGAGCTGCTCTAAGCAATGTCCCACACCTTTCAGGGGAAACTCCACCTCAGCTTCCTTTGGGTCCTGCTGGACTATTCCCACGTGGTTAAATGTGGAGAGGGAGTGCCCTTAGAAACAAAACCTCTGGGTTTCCAGAATGTGTGAGTCACTCTGTATTTGTCAAGTTCACCAGAAGGTAATTGTGTGTTTAAATGAAACACGGTAGTAATTCAGAAACTGGAAATCCAGTTGTTGGTGTTACAGGTGGAGGGGAGTTAATCCAAATGTTCCAGGGCTGCATTTTTAAACAACCCATACACTGAAGCAGCAGAGGAGCCTTGCACTGATCTTGCACCGACTGTGTTCCAGGATCAAGTGCCGTCGCTGTGTGAACGGGCACCAGGTACGGCCCCCTCCTGAAGGCTCCGACTGCACCTCAGACCTGTCCCAGTGGCACCACTGTGCGGATAAGCGGGGGCTGCAGGACTCCGTGCTGAAGGCTGCCTGGGACGCCGCCGTCACCTTCACTTTCCATCATCACTCCCACGAGGAGCAGCGAGGGATTCCCTAACAGGTTACTGTCCCCTGTGGGGGCAAGTTTAATCCCTTTCAAGGAAAGGGGCAGTGGGGAGCTGTGCCTGCTGGACTGTTGTGTGGCTGTGGAATAGCAGAACAGCGTGGCTTCTGAGTGGCTGGAAGGGCCCTTGGCAGTGTTCAGTCTACTGCAACAGCAAGGAGTCCGTGGCTTTTTCTCTGCTGTTGTATTGTGTGCCTGAAAAACATCCCCTTGGGAACTGGGAATAACAGGACCTTGCATGCTTGATCTGACTTAGCACTGGTTCTCCTGCTGTTGGTGTCTGTGCCTTCGACTCAGCCAGGTTTAAGTTAGACCTGGAGTTTTAGAGTGCTTGATGTGCAGTCATGTGTTTGGTTTTTTTTTTCCTTGACAGCTATGGCTTACAGCTGCTGATCAAAACTTGCAGGATCCATTTCTGCTGTGAAATGTGAACCTGGCTTATTACTTGGGAACAACAGGATTTGTACAAGGGAAAAAAATTTTAGCTTTTCTGTTGAACATCTGACTGGAAGGATCATGCAGGCGGTAGAAAATCAGGCTCTATTATGGTAACTAATTTCTAAAACCACTTGCTTTGTTATGGGCAGGATCCCCTGATCTAGCAGAGTGTTTTAATTGAGATCACCTTACCAGCCAGAAATAAAATTCACACTTTAGCACATTATGGGTCTTAAATATATTTTTATTGTAAAAATGTTACAAAAGACCAAACTATTTAAAACCTCTGTAAAATGACTGCAGACATTGGAAAGGGGCAACAGGATTGCAAATAAACAGCAAGCTACTTGGTACATAAAGCATCTTTTTTGGTATAAAGTAAAATTTTCCAAATGGAAAGGCCTGGGGGCTTTGTTTAAGATTATTTTCTACTCCCTTTAAGTGGAGGAAGGAGTTCTTATTTCACAGAATGGCTGAAGTTGGAAGGGACCTCAGGTGATACTGTGCAATAGCCCTTCTCAAAAGCAGGGTCTCCTAGAGCTGGTTGCCAAGGACCACAACCAGATGGCTTTTGAGTCTCTCCCACAATGGAGGTGGTTATGGATGAGGCATTGGCTGAAACAACATGAAATTTGTCACAACATCCAGTGAAATAAATAACTGCTTGTTCAGAAATCTGGAGGAAGTCACAGAAGCCCCTTTGATATATGTCCCACTTAAAGTACTCAAAGGAAGATGGTAGAGTTTAGATCACCTGGAAATATAGCTGTTGACCCACATGGTCTCATGTGTCACTTCACTGTCATAACCCTTCAAATGAAAAGTGACAAGAACAACTCTGTACTGCTTGAAGCAGGGAAAGAAACCCCCACCTGTGCTGTGAAATCAATCGTCCTGGCCTGGGAACAAACTGCTTAGTTCAAGCTGATGGGTTTTCTCTGCTCCTGTGTCCATCACATGACACTGATGTAGTCAGCAAAGGCCTGGGAGGAGTCCCACGAGTCGTTGACCACACTGCACACAGCTTTGAGACGCCGAAGCGCTTCCTGAGCTGTTTCTGCGTCCTGGTCCAGCCAGTTTTGGAAGAGGCGGAGGTGTGTGAACTGAATCTGTCCCCCTCTCTGCTGGATGTGGCCTTCCAGCTTCTTTGTGAACTCCAGGAGCCCATCAGGTTTGATGCAATTTGAGCTTTCCAGGGAAAGAAAGATAAAAAATGTCATTAAGAGTCTAGGCTATAATTTGAGCAGTTTAAATTACTGTTCCCTCTAGTAACTGCCAGTGCAGGTACAGTGGGGATGTTTCAAGGCTAAGTGCACCTTCAGCAGTACAAAGTGTGAAAAACAAAACTGAAGCACAGTAATGTGAAGGGCTGGAAACATTTTAAAACTAAGGTGGTAACCGCTGACAAGTTAAACTCATTATCCTCCTTACCACTGACTTAAGTAGATCTAGATGTGGCCTTAAAATGTTGCTGGACCCAAGCTGCTGGGTAAGCAGTGCCAGGAGCACTTCAGCCTCACAGCAGCTGTCAACTGCCTGGACCAAGGGGCTTACCCCAACCTACAAGTCCCAGCACCAGCCTCAGCAGTAAGTGATTATTTATGTCTTCCTTCTGAGAAAATCTGTCAGGTCCTGGTGTTTCTAGGAGATTCAAAGGTCACTTCCCTTGCACAGCTGTGTAAATAAATATCAAGTTGCATGCTGGACTTGAATGTTGTCAGAGGTACAGTAACAATGAGGATTCAAGGCTGCTGAAGGAGTAGCCATGGTTAAATAAATTGTCAAGCCTGTGTGTCTGCAACCTGAGCCATTAGGATGTAAGGAAAGGGTGGGGGCAGAATCATGCAATGCAGTTGTTAATATTGCAGAAATGCCACCCCCCACATACTTCATGAAGGTTACTGCCTATCCTTATGGCCACTCAGGCTCAAGAAGAGAGCAGCACTTCAGATGAAAGACCAAAGATGAGGAAAGGAATGTAGAGGCCTCCACAGGATCTGACAGGCAATGACAACATTCCCTCCACAGGGGCAGTGGAAACAGAGCTGTTCATACTGATGGCTAAGAATAAACATAGAGATGTTACTTCTTACCTACAGCTTGGGGAGGGCCTGCAGCAGCCTCCCAAGGGAGCAGCAAACCAAAGCCGCTTTTAAGATGGAGCTTGACTCATTTATAAAGGGAACAGTGAGATGCCTCAGAGATGCTGGAGGTTCCTGAGGCTGTATGTGCCCATTGCAGTACTCTCAGCTTTTCCTGGGCACACATCCCCTCAAGGAAGGAACAAAACCATGCTCAGGTTCTCGTGATGCCAGAGCCCAGTTCAGCTCTGTCCCTCCCCAAACAAGAAATTCAGTGTTTAGTGCAGCAGAATACCTGACATCCAGCTGGCAAAGAGAAGAGGAGGAATCTTCAGAGAAAATGTCTGCAAGGGCAACCAGCCTGTGATTCCCTAAAAGGGGAGAAATGTCACTTAGATGCAAACTGGGAACTGTTTTGAAATTTGAAATGGCCACAGGGCTGGGATAACAGTGCAGAAAGGAGGCTGTAATGATGTGAACACAGCACAAAGGGCCCATCTCTGCACCCTCAGTTTGTCCCCCTAAGTGGCCTGAAGTGAATTCATCCCCCTGAGTACAGTGTTCAAGGCAATGAAGACATCTGCTCATAGGGCAGTTGTTTCACTAGAAAAATTCTGGTTTTGTTTGAGAAGTCCATATGCAGCTTTGTTTTAGAAATTAAGTGTATTCAGGTTATGCCAAGCTTTTCTGTTTTATTTCATTAAAAGAACAGAAAAGAATATTCTGGATTCACCTGAAATTAATTTCTCAAACATTTCTACTTGGCTTCTGATCCAAAAAGCCTATCATTTCTCAAAATTCAGTTCCACTTAGTCACAAACCTTACTTGTTCCCATCCCTCCAGTGGCTGCCAACAGCTGTTAAGACACAAAATGCCCAAACTTGGGCAAAATCTGCGCCTTTGAATGAGAGGCAGAACATCTGCTGCTGGATCTGTTCCTGTTCAAGAGCCTGAGGAAGATCAGTGTTCAGTCAAATCTGGAGACCTGCTGATACTTGCTTTTGCTGCAGAGAAAAGCAGCTGTAATGCCCGCACGGCACTTGGGCCCTTGGTACGTTGCTGATCACAACTGAAATTCTGCCTTTAAAAAATGAACCCAGTGCTCCTTACTTTGTGAGCTTCATGGATTCTGTTCATGGATGTGATAATTTCAGCACTGCAGTGTCCCCAGCTGTCAGTGACTCCAGCCCTGAAGTTACCTCCAAGAGAGTTGGTCTAAGGCCCCACAGCAGTGTTCACAGTACGCACCGAGGCGATTCCCGGGCAGTTTGAGGCTCTTCAGGGATGAATTTCTTTTCACTGTATTGATTATTTCTGACAGAAACTCAGCAGTAGAGCTTTCAAACAGCCGGCAGAAGGAAAACGTGATTTCTGCGGAAGAAATGGGTTGACAGTACATGTGAGTACTCCCTGCGCCTCATTATTCCATGATTACATTCTGCAGACAGCTCCAGTCCCTAATCCATATGGAATAACAAAGCTACTCCAGCCGTGGATTGCATGTAACAGCACTTCTGCTCTGTCAGGAAGACAGCTGAGATCACACCCAGGGAAGTGGCTTTGCCAGCTGACCCAGTTAAAGAAAAAATCTTTGTTTTATAGCTGAGACTACAGACTCTTCTCTGCACCATACATCAGCCTTGCAGCTGCTCTTCTCTGCCCTGCTGGCACAAAGAACCAGGCACATTCCCACTCTGCCAGCAGCTACAGATCTGCTCCAGGGACTGCTGACATTTGGCTAAACCTTACACGTCCACAGATCACCTCTTAAATGTCAGCCAGCTGAAAGAAGCCACCGGCACCATCTTTCCAAGCAACAGCACCCAGGAGTTTGCTGTACCTTGCAGGATGGGATCCTGAAGCAAAAGCAGAACTTCTTTCTGGTGCTCAGCCAGGTTCACATCATGAAAACTCAGTTTCTTCAAATTTGGAGTACACTCTAAAAGCAAAACAAATTCTCAGGTAAAGCACTGTACACCCTTGACCCAGCTACCAGCTAACACCCAGAAACTGAGCTGGACTGTAGGTAATTTGTGCTGGATTGTGAGTAATTAAAAAAGAACCATGGCTGACACCCATCTCCTTTTCTCAGGAGACTTCAAGGGTCCACACTGAAGAAAGCTACACTGTGTGTGCCCCAGTGATGCTGCCCAAGGGGTACCTTTGAGCGCCTCCAGAAGGAGCCCGAGCTCCTGAGAGCAGGGCAGCGTGGCACTGTCAAGGGACAGCTGCTGGAGGGACTTCGATGCCTTGAGCACTGGCTGCAGGAACGTGGTGTGCAGAGGTTCCCTGGGGAATCGGATCTCCAGCTGCTCCAGGCAGCTTTCTAAGGGAAGAAAAACAAGCAACAATGAGTGAGTTTGGCCTGGAGCTCCCATCTTCAATGTAGCTGGTCCCACAACAGGCAGGAAGCCTGTATGCCTGACACCACTATCATTTAGGTTGGCAGAAATTGCTTATGAAACGTGCCCTGCCCCACAGAGCTCTGTGGCAACTCAGACCTGCGGTGATGTCAGTCACAGCTCATTCCAGGACTCCTGCCAGACCAAAGGGCTGCTAATTTCTACAGGGCTCTGGCAGTGAAATAAAGCTTGAGAAAAGGTCACTCTTTATGCACAAACCAGTCAGTGTCTCTCCAGAGCACCAGCTCTTTGCTGAGCCCCCTGCAGACTCGCTCACACTTTGCTCACTGCTTTTCTGGCCATTCAAGGGCTAATAAGGGTGATGGGGA